ATTCCTTTGATTTGTATCTCCAAGTCTTCATCTATCCCAATAAATTTTACATTTGGTCATTTTAGGTTACCCTATATTTCTTGGAAGTTCTGTTTATGGTCTCTTAACATCTTTGCTCCATGGTCAACTTTATTTTCAAGATTACATATTTTAGTCTTCATTGCCTGAAACTCTGTCTTCCAAGTAGTCTAGTCTGTTGGTGATGCTTTCCATTGAATTGTAAATTTGGTTTATTGATTCCTTCATTTCTAGCATTTCTGCTTGAATTTTTTCAGAAACTCTCTTTATTGAAGTGATCTTTCACTTCCTGTATTTCTCTCTTATTTCACTTATTATACTGTCCTTACTTCACAGATCAATTTATTTATGTGTACTCTATACTCCTTCTCTGACATTTCTTCCACTATGGTGCCAATGGATTCTCTTATTGAAGTATCTTTGTTTGTTTAGAGTGATCTGTTCCCTTGTTATTTTATGTTATTTGTGTGTCTACCTATCTAACAGAGTGGATCTGAGGCAGTAGAGTTTCTACCATGTGGACTTATAGTGTCCCTGAAGGTACCTCACTGTTTAGGGGGAGAAAAATAAAAATAACAACCAGTGCAGACTATAAAGAATTAAACCAAATAGGACTGGTTATTATGTCTACAGTGTTAATTATCACAATGAACAGAAATGATATGGTCAATTATTGTTTTCATAAGCATTTACAATTTTCAGTGGTGGACAGGGACAGAACAGAAGTGTTGTAGAATGTGATGATTATGATGGAGAAAGAAAGAAGATAGAAGTAAAAATTAAAGGAAGGATGAAAGAGAGAACAATAGAGATTGTTAGCAGAAGGAAAGAGAAAAAGAATGAAGTGAAATAGATAAATGGGAGAAAAAAATGTATATAAAGAGAAAATTTTTTAAATCAGAAATAAAAATAAAAGAATACAAACACAACTGAAATATACTAATCAAACATCCTACTTATCAAAATACTGATCCTTGCAAAATAACTGGCTTCAGAAATGCTAGAAATGAGAAAAAACAAATATGAATATGTATAGATGTCCATAAACCATTAAGGTCATAATTAAACAGAGAAAAGAATTGTTTCTGTTGGAGTTCAAAAGATTCTCAGCTTCCCTTCTCAGGTGTGTCTGGAGTGTGATGCTTGCTCCACCCTCAGGGTGGGGTTGCTGGAGGAGAGAGGTAATTTCACAGAACTCCTGGAGTTTAGGGTTAGGTAGCTCCAGGTTCTTCACTGAATGCCGATTGGTCTGGAGATTTAAAATCAGCACACCTCTAGGGCTCAGCAGTTTCTGGTCCATGCTAGAAGACTGAACCCCAGAGACATCCCCAGGGTTCCACTCATGGTGGAAGAGCCAATTCTTAGTCCACTGCATCACCCGCAGACTGGTTTCCTGATATGGTTCAGTCTCCAAACTCTTTCCCCCCTCCCCCTTTCTAAATCCCAGCCAGACACATCTCCCTGACCCATTTTTTGCAAGCAGTCAGATTGGAGGGGGTGGGGAAGAGCCAGGTCAGTTTCCACAACCAGTAGTCCCCTGTGTTAATCTCTCCCCATGTTTGATTTTCTTATGGTCACTTAGGAACACTCTATGCCATGCAGTGTGGGTTTTCCAAGCCTATTCTTCAGGCCAAATTCAGTTTTGCCAGGAATTAGCTCCCCTAGCTTCTGGTCCTGCATCACAGCTGCAAAATTGTCCCTTCTCTGTACTCCACATGCAGCCAGGAGAGATACAGCTTCTTTGCCATACAAGGATATTGTGCAGCATGCTTTTCAGTTTAGTCAAGCAGTGTCTTTGATCTCTAAAAGCTCCACACCCAGACATGACTCAGGCCTCCTAAAAATGTGGGTTCCTTTAATTCCCTCCACTTTGCTCATGGAAGGACTGCTCTGGCTGGTGCCTCCGGCCATGGCAGCAACTATGGCCCTGAGGATTTCTTCCTTATTTTATTATATTTGGCCTCCTGAGTCCCCAGTCTTTGAATGTTCAGTATTAAATTCTAGTAAAGTACCTCCCAGCTTTTTTTGTTTCTGAGAAGGTATCTCTCTGCTTTTTTGGTTTCATGCCATGGAACAACCAGGAAAGCAACCTTCTCTATCCTGACATCTTGAACCACCCCCATCTCACTAGATATTGAATCTGTTGGCATCTTAATCTTGGAACTTCTAGCCTCTAGCATTTCTAACTTGTAAATGAAATGGTTTAAGAAAAATATTTTTTATTCTTTTTGGAGTGCTAAGGATAGAACCTAGGGCATCCCACATGCTAGCTGAAGCAAGTAACTGACAGACAATTGTTAACTGTTTTGCCCCCCACCAGTTGTTCTCCACACTCTAATACTGGGGAACTAGAGGCACTTTGATCACTGAGTTACATCTTCAGCCCTTCTTTTTTTTTTAAACACATTTTTTTAAAGAGAGGGTGAGAGAGGGAGGGAGAGAGAGAGAGAGAGAGAGAATTTTAATATTTTATTTTTTAGTTTTCGGCAGACACAACATCTTTGTTTGTATGTGGTGCTGAGGATCGAACCCGGGCCGCACGCATGCCAGGCGAGCGTGCTACCGCTTGAGCCACATCCCCAGCCCTCCAGCCCTTCTTAATTTTTATTTTGAGACAAAGTCTTGCTAGATTTCTCATGCTGGCATCAGATTTACACTTCTCAGTCTCCCAAGTAGTTGGGATTTACAGGTGTGTGCCACTGCATCTGCCTTCATCACCATTTTTAAACAAGAATCCTTCCCTTCCCCTACTTTGTAATACATTAAAATGTGACGAAGTGCTTATGAATTTTTTCTTCCTTTCTTATTTCATGGTGCTGGGAATTGTTGAACCAGGGCTTGCTAAGCCTGGTTCAACAATTGCTGGCAATTGCTCTATCACTGAACAACATCCTCAGCCCAGTGCTTAGGACTTTCCATGTGGAATGATTTAATGTCCTATGTCACCCTTTCTTCTATATAAGTGTCACATTTCTACTATTGCCCTGCTACTACATAGCCTCCATAAAAGACCATCTCTTTTCTGCCCAGGCCTAAGGATGACAAAGAACATCAGCATATGTGCTCTTCACCTACTCAAGCTCCTCTCCACCAGAGGCCAACAACCGGCTGGCTGTGAACATCACAAGAATCAGTATAAGTCATATGAGTCAGGATTACCTTTGGGTTCTTTCCTCTATTAGTAAAATAATGCACTTCTAAAGTAAACATAAAGAAGAAAATGAAAATCTTACATATTAATCCTCTTACCCCAAGATTAACCACTATTATTCTTTGGTTTATTCTTATGGACTTTTTCTAGGTACCAGGTCACAGTAAAGATGCTATTTTGTATCCTGTGCTTTTGAATCACTATGGCCATTTTTTCGTTTTATTTGAATATTCTTCAAGAGCATAATTTTTTATTGTTTCTTTTTAGTTATATATGAGGGTAGAATCCATTTTGAGAAAATTATACATGCATGGAATATATCTTATTCTAATTAGGGACCTGATGTACACAATAGTGGGATTCACTGTGGTGTATTCATGTAAGTACATAGGAAAGTTATGTCAGATTCTTTCTACTGTATTTCCTATTCTATCCTTCTTCCTTTTCCTTCATTCCCCTTTGTCTAAACCAATGAACTTCATTATTTCCCTCTGTCCCCCTTATTGTGGGTTAGCTTCCACGTATCATATAAAATATTCACCCTTTGGTTTTGGGGAACTGGCTTATTTCACTTAGCATGATAGTCTCCAGATCTATTCATTTACCAGTAAATTTCATAAAGTCATTCTTCTTTATGGCTGAGTAATATTCCATTGTATATATGTAACACATTTTCTTTATCCACTTATCTGTTGAAGCACCTAGGTTGCCTCCATAGCTTAACTATTGTGAGTTGTGCAGCTGTAAACATTGATATGGCAGTGTCACTGTGGTATGCTGATTTTAAATCCTTTGGATGTATTCCAAGGAGTTAGATAACTAGGTCAAATAGTGGTTCCATTCCTAGTTTTTTGAGAATCTCCATACTGCTTTCCATTGAAGTTGCACTAATTTGCAGTTCCACCAACAATGTATGAGTATACTCATTTACTCACATCCTCACTAACATTATTGTTGCTTGTATTCTTGATAATTGCCATTCTAGTTGAGGTGAGATTAAAATTTCAGTGTATTTGTAATTTGCATTTCTGTAATTGCTAGGGATGTTGACCATTTTTTCATATATTTGTTGACTGTATTTCTTCTTTTGTGAAGTGTCTGTTTAGTCCCTTTGCCCATTTATTTGCTTTTTTGGTGTTAAGCTTTTTGAGTTCTTTGTATATCCTTGAAGTATCTATCTATCTGAGGTACAGGTTGCAAAGATTTCTGTAGGCTCTCTCTGCATAAAGAGCACAATTTTAGTGAATTGTTTTGATGCTCTGAACCATGTCTGTTTTCTTTCCTAAGTGCTTCTCTACCTTCTGACCATATAATTCCCTTTAGCTTGACAGCATGTTGCCTCTTCCAGCCCAAGAACCATGAAATAGGGCCTGAAATATCTCCTGGGAGAGTCTGCACTTATGGTAGTTTATTTTATTGTAGATGAATGAAGTTGGTCTCTGTCCTGAACACCCAGGAACCCACCTTTGCTTTGATTGATGTCACAAGGATCCCTTCCTTATACCCAGCAGAGATAATCTGTGGCCTCCAGAATGGGACATCTTGCAAGCTCTGCACAGCTATGATTGGTACACAATGAGGCCAATATAACATGCATCATCCCTTCCTCTCTGGCACCTGTGCACTGGGCAAAATGCGCACATGTCTTCCTGGCCCTGGATGGCCCAGAGGTGTCTGGATGAGGAGTGAGCCGTTTAGCAAAAACCCACCAGAGGGCACATCCTGCTGTTATAGCAGGTCACAATTGTCCTAATCCATGCCAAGGTGGCCCAGGGTTTATATACTCTAATAGAGCCATCTTTCACCTTACTCACCTCTGTTTCCTTGACAGATTTTTATCCAGAGATGCCTGGCAGGGAAGAATATGTTTCACATAAAAAGTGGCTGCATTTTGTGTGGGTACTTGAAGCTGCTGCCCATGTTCCTCATGGTGGTGCCAGGAATGATCAGTCGCATCTTGTTCCCAGGTAAATTCTTGATTCTCATGTGTTCACTCACAGCATCAGCTTCTCCTGAATTAGAAATCTAGAAAATATTTGGGATTATCAGGTTTCCCACAGTATACTGGTTATTGAAGTATTCTCAATTACTTCTGTGGGATGCAGCTGAGCAGAAGTCTGGCACAAAGTGTGGATATTCCAAGCAAGACAGAAATTCCATGGTGATACATTCAGGCAGGGAAGAGTAAGCCTCTGATAGGGGCTCAGCTATGACTTTGAGACACAAGTCTGCTAGAACTTTGAGTTGCTTTCACTGCATCGCAAACATCATGCTGGGCATGCACTGTGTACTATGTGCTCTGCTGGGATCTCACAGATGCTGTCACTGCTTCTCATAGCCCCAGGGCCAGCCTTTCATAGCCTCATTAAACTCATGAGGCACATTGGAGGGAGCTTGATACAGCCCCAAAGTAGGCTGACTCAGAATGAGGCCCATATTCTTTGCCTTAAATACTATTAAAGCATACCTATTTCCCCTAATAAGTAATCATAATTCCCATGAATGTATATTATCCCCATTTCAACTTAGTTTTACTAGCTTATCCTGTAATGAGTCTGTTTATTCATTAAATTTATGGTAGCACTTACTTTGATAGGTGCAACCACAGGGGCAAAGAAGGTGACTTCCAGGGGAATCTGTCTCTACACAGTGCTTTTGACAAGGCTAAACAAAATGGAGAATGCTTTTTAGTGCTAAGTAGTTGTGTAATAGACATCTCTTACACTAACCCATCTTCAGTGTACCTAAGATATATCTCTTTATCTTAATTTCTATCTTAATTCCTTCCCAGTTTTAACAGAGAAGATTCTCAACACTCCCTGATTATGTTTTAAACTGTCAAGTAGAGATTTTGTTAGACCTTGTGAGTGGTGCTTTCTCATAAATTAGAAAATAGGCCCCTCTGCCTTCCAAGACCTATAGTCCCAAGTTATTACTCTGAATGAACACCCCTATCAGCACCAAGAGAGAATGGTTATAGTTGGTAACATGTTAATATATGGCAAATAATCCATCCACTTTACTATCATCTTGATGGGATCATTGAAAAGCTTATTAAGGTCTTGTGACTTGATTTGGGTCATGCAGTCAATCAATAAAAACTCCAATCCATTGACTCATAGGAACCTGAGTCCTAACCCTTTCTTCTATCCTAAGCCCCCAAGAATTTAGGATCCTGGATTGGAACAGTCACCAGTGAATCAAGGATCTAATATCTACATGTGAATATGTGATTCCTAATTGGCTTCCCTTACCCAAAGCTCAGATTTAGAGCTCTAAGACCAGCATGTTGGTGTTACTTTTGCTTCTTTTTGCAGATCAAGTGGCATGTGTTGTACCTTCAGAATGTCTAAAGTACTGTGGCAGCAGATCCAATTGCAAAGCCATTGCTTATCCAAAGCTGGTGATAGCAGTGCTGCCTAATGGTAAGAAACAAACCCTGCCACTGAGTGCCATAGAAACCCCATGATTGGGGACTGTGCCTTTAGACTACATGTGGCCAGTTAGAAATGAGGGTAGCAGGGGTAGGCTTCTTTATAAGCCAACCCATCACTCTGGGTAGAAATGCAGGCTTCAGGCTGAGAGGGACATTAGGACAATGGAAGCAACCTTGCTTTCCATAACAGAAGGAATCAAGGCTTCCTCCTCTTCTCTTCACACACTAGTAGTACACATCTTCTGGGAGGCACAACCTGCCCCTACCATTGGCATTACTCACTTTACCTATTAAATGCATTTGTTTGCTCATTCTTTCAAAAAATGGGCTCTATAGTTCCTCAAAAATGGAACTCCTTGGTATTTATCCTAAAGAATTAAAGTCTTCATACTACAGTGATAACATTCATCCCATATTTATAGCAGCACAAGTCACAATAACTAAATTATGGAACAAGCCTAGGTGTTTATCAATGGATGAATGGATTTTTAAAATGTGGTATAAATACACAATGGAGTTTTATTCGACCATAAAGAAGAACGAAACTATGTCATTTGCAAGAAAATCGATGGAACTTGAGAACATGTTAAGTGAAATAAGCCAAATCAGAAAAGCAAGGGCCACGTTTTCTCTCATATGTAGAAGCTAGATGTCAGGGAAATCTCATGAAAATCTAAGGAAGACCAGTATAGTAGAGTAAAGGGACCAAAGAGGGAGTTGTGGAGAGAAATGGGTGAAAACTGGGAAAAATATTGTCCAAGTCATATTGTTATAACATGTGCATGTGTGAATATATAATAGTGAATCCTACCATTATGCATAATTATGATGCACCAGTAAATATGGGAAAAGAAAAATGAGCTCCATGCTGTAAAAGGTGTTATTCTAAGCCATGGCAGTGTAAAGACAAGCCAGACTAGTCCTGTCCTCAAAAAGCTCACTGTCTAGGATACAGGTAGTTACCTAACAGTCAAATGACTTTCATTGTGAGGTGGTAGTAAGCTCAAGCATTTATCTCATTTTCTTCCCCAAATTTCATTAAAATGGCCAAATGAATATTTTTTTAAATTCTGTGTCAACTCTGGAGAACAACAGGTAGAAAAGGTTGAGATGTTTCCATAAAACACAGGATAGATGGAATCAGGTGGAGGGAAATACTGACCTTCCTAAAGTGCAGGACATGAGTTGTCTGAACTCTCAGCCGACTCTCTGAAAATGCCTGAGCCTCGAGCAAACAGGGCTGTGAGTGACAATGGGCAGTTGAAGGAAAATACAAGGACCCAATCTATATCTGACCTGCCCCAAATGGCCCACCGAGTACAATTTGGGTATTGCCACAGTGGGCCTCCAGCTTAGGTCCTGGTTGTTCTTAGGTTCCCCAACAGCACATAGAAAAGAAATCTTCAGATGGAACATTTACTGTCCCTGCCACATGGTGGTTTTCCAGGTAGCAAATAAAATATTGTGAGATTTATAACTGACATTTGTTAGCACTTGCTATATATTGTACATTGTGTCAACCCATCTTTACTTAGTTTATCTTAATCTTAACTATAACTTTGTGTGGTGAGACATCATATCCTCAATTTATAGATGAGGACACCAGGGCACAAGGAACTTAATGACTTCTATAGTTTGAACATTCCCTAAAGAACTGAATGACTTCTATAGTTTTAATGGTCCCTAAGCCTCTGGCTCCTCACCTTTAAGGAGGGCAAGCAATGGTGTCCATCTCTCAGCACTGTAGAGAGAATAGTACAGGATGATGCCTGAAGAGATGTTCTTGCACAGAGAAACCATACAAGATACCAGCTCCCATTTTTATATGAAGACACAGCAGAGGACTATTAAGTCTTGTCACAAAGCAGGAAAAAATATAACACAATAATCTATATTCGATGGAATTAAATCCATGTAAATTTTGAATTCTTCATAGGGGAAAATTTAGTATTTCGGAAAGTTCTTTAGGAGGCCTAACTCTCAAGACATGGTCAGAGAACTGAAAGTCCAGAAATTGTCATTTTTCTTCCAGGCTTTCAAGGGTTGATGCTGACCACAATGTGTGCTGCCCTCATGTCCTCCCTGACTTCCATTTTCAACAGTTCCAGTGCCATGTTCACAATGAACATATATACTTTGATGAGGCCTATGGCCACTGAAAAGGAACTTCTGGTAACAGGAAGGTGAAGTATTCCTCTAATCACATGAGTTAAGGCTGTCAAAGAAATGTCACTCACAATGTGTAATTACATGAAAAAATAGGCTGCAATACTGTATGTAGAATTATCCTGTTTATATATAGTCCAGTAAATTTGGAGGCTTGGTTTTTGTTTCCAGTTTTTATTTTTGGTTTTTGTTATAATATTGCAATGAAAATGTATTTCCTTGATGATTACAAAGAAAACTCTTTTTACTTGGGAAAAAATCATCATCACAATGATAAAAATGGGCATAATTTAATATGCCCCCCCCAAAATAGTCCTTTTGGGGAAAACAGCATAAACTATCTTATTATTTCATTTAATTCTCATGACAACCATTAAAGGTAAGTTTCCCTTTAATTATTCTTGTTTTACAAATGGAAAAACAGTAGCTCAGACTACTGAGCTATCTGAAATCACATAATAAGTAGGGGAACTTGTCAATTGTGGGGCAATGCCTTTAACCATGAAACCACATGACACCTACAAGGGCTTGTTCCATAGGCTTTCACATTGGCAACCCATGTGCTTCATGCAACCCACACATCTTTAACATTACCTATATTGTGTCTGAAATATGCCTTAATTTTGCATCAAAGTTTATGTCCATTATCTATTTTACCTATCTTATTTCTACAGTATTTGAGTTTTCCTTTACATTTTTATTAGTGTTTCATGTTTGAAAAAACAATTTTCTGAGAAATTTTAAGAAATGGATTTCAGTTTTAGAGAATATAGAAAAAAGGTAGATGAATTCATTTTATGAAGCTCAAGCTATAGGTGCCAAAACTTAACACATATAGCATAGAAAAATATTGAAACTAAAGACTAATCTCATTTTTAAATATCAATGCAAAAATGTAAATAAAATGTCCAACACAAATCCAATAATGTCATAAAAAATAATATATTATTACCAACCATGATTTTTTTCCCAGAAATATAAGGATGATTCAGTATTAGGATATTTAATAATATAACTCACCATAATAACAGATCAAATATAAAAAAAGCGTATACCTGTTCACAGATGATGAAAAGAACATTTGGCAGGTGCTTTTCAACATAATAAAACATCTGTATTATGCTAAAAGCCTATATCATGCTTAATGATGTAGCAAGACAAGAATGTCTCTCTCACTATGATAGATAGATAGATAGATAGATAGATAGATAGATAGATAGATAGATAGATAGATAGATAAAATGCAGACCCACAGGTGATGTTAGCAGACCAGGACTTTAAAATAACCATGATTGTTCTTGAATAGGCAGAATTAATTGTCAAAATGGCCATATTACCAAAAGTACTACACAGATTCAATGCAATTCCTAGTAACATTCCAGTGACATTCTTCATAGAAATAAAAAAAAACATTGTGAAATTCATTTGGAAAATAAAGAGGCCCAGAATAGCCAAAGAAGTCCTCAGTGAGAAAAGTGAAGCAGGAAGCATCACAATACCAGACTTTAAATTATACTACAGAGCTATAGTAATAAAAACAGTGTGGTATTGGTGCCAAGATAGACATGAAAACCAATGGAACAGAATAGAAGACACAGAGACATGATACACAGATGCTAACCCATAACAAAGGCAGGTAGGAAGCAGAAGTACAGAAGTTCATTGGATTAAACAAAGAGGATTGAAGGGAAGGGATGGAGATGAGAATAGGAAATAACAGTAGAATGAATTGGTCATAACTTTCCTATGCTAATATATGAATACACAACCAGTGTAACTCTACATCATGTACAACCACAAGAATGGAATCAAAATTGTGATGGGTTGCACCATATGTATGTATAATATATCAAAATATATCTTACTGTCAAGTATATGTAAAACAACAAATAAAAATAAATATTTGGCAGGTGTTTTCAACATAATAAAACATCTGTATAATACTTTTATGCTTTTAGCATAAAAGTGATAGTCGGGATCTAAAAAATAAAAAAGAAGACATAGAAACAAACCCACAAGAGTACATTTATCTCATACTAGACAAAGGCACCATAAACATACATGGGAGGAAAACTAGACTCTTCAACAAATGGTGCTGGGAAAAAATCCAAAGTAACAAAATGACATTGAACCCCTACCTCTCACTCTATACAAAACTCAACTCAAAGTAGACCAAAAACCTAGGCATTAGACCAGAGACCTAGAAGAAAATATAGTACCAACTTTCCCATCATGTCAGCTTAGGAACCAACTTCCTCAACAAGACTCCTAAAGCACAAGAAATAAAATCAAGAATCAATAAATGGGGTACTGGGGTTGTAGCTCAGTGGTGGAGTGCTTGCCTAGCATGTGTGAGGCATAGGGTTCGATTCTTAGCAGTGCATATAAGTAAATAAAAATAAAGGTCCATCAACAACTAAAAAAATATTTTAAAAAAGAATCAATAAATGGAATAGTATGAAACTAAAAAGCTTCTTCACAGCAAAAGAAACAATCAAGAATGGGAGAAAATCCATGCCACCTGCACTTAAGACAAAGCATTAATCTCCAGGATATATAAAGAACTCAAACACACACACACACACACACACACACACACACACACACACACACATAAAAAATAACTCAGTCAATAAATGGGCAAAGGAACTGAACAGATACTTTACAGAAGAAGAAATAAGATCAATCAACAAACATATGAAAAAAATGTTCAACATCTCTAGCAATTACAGAATTGCAAATTAAAATTACATTGAGATTCCATCTCACTGCAGTCAGGATGGCAATTATCAAGAATGCAAGCAACAATAAATGTTAGGAAAGATGTGGGGAGATAGGTAGGGTGCACTCATACATTGGTGGTGGGACTGCAAATTGGTGCAACTACTCTGGAAAGCAGTATAGAGATTCTTCAAAAAACTTGAATGTAACCACCATTTGACCCAGTTATCCCACTCCTTGGCATACACCCAAAGGACTTAATATCAGTGACACAGCCACATCAATGTTTATATCAGCTCAATTCACAATTACTAAACTATGGAACCAACCTAAGTGCCCTTCAATAGATGAATGGATAAAGAAAATGTGATTATGTATACACACACACACACACACACACACTCTCTCTCTCTCTCTCTCTCTCTCTCTCTCTCTCTCTCTCTCTCTCTCACGTATGTGCAATGGAGTGTTACTCAGCCATACAGATGAATGAAATTATGACATTTGCTGGTAAATGGATAGAACTGGAGGCTATAATGCTAAGTGAAATAAGCCAGTCCCCAAAAACCAAGGGCCAAAAATCTTCTGATATGCAATGCTGACACACAATAAGTAGGGAAAATAGAATAGAAGTTCACTGGATTAGATAAAGGAGAATGAAGGGAAGGGAGAGGGATGGGAATAGGAAAGACAGTAGAATGAATCAGACATAACTTTCCCGTGTTCATACATGAATACACCACCAGTGAAATTCAACACCATGTACAACCTCAACAATGGGATCCTACTTAGAATAAGTTATATTCCATATATGTATAATATGTCAAAATATACTCTATTGCCATGTAAATCTAAAAAGAACAATTATTTTAAAATCAAAAATAGAATAAAATAACTATGATTATTATGTACACTTAAATATAAGGAAGAGATTATAAACTGTACAAAAATGTTGAGAATTCTTCCAGAAAATCAGAATTTATAGAATAGATTAAAGATGTTTTTATATAATTTTAAAATAAATATCTGAAATTAGGAACTCAGAGAAAGCCAAACATGGCACATACCTAGAATTCCAGCTGGGAGGCTGAGGCAAAAGGAATGCAAGTTCAAGGTCACCAAGGGTGACTTGATGAGACCCTGTCTCAAAGTAAAAAATAAGAAGAACTTGGGATGTAACTCAGTGTGCTACTGGGTTTGATCTTCAGTACCTCAAAAAAAACTCAATAATTGAATACAGACAAAGATACAATTATTGAAGATGGATCAGTTGATAGTATCAAACTGAAATACACAAATACAAGTAAGATGCACATGAAACACAATCTGAGTAATAATATGCATATTGAAATCACAGAGAGAAAGAAACAAATTGGTCTGAAATAATTTTTAAAAGATAATGTCCAAAACTGAGGGACAGCTCTCCAGAAACCTTAGAAATTCCACAAACTGAAGCATGATTAATACGAAGAAAACCATACCAAGATTACATTATGGTGGAAATTGAATATAATTAGAACATATTTAAAGCAGCCATAGGAAAATAAATCACATTACCTTTAAATAAGCAACAAAGAGATGGTATTTGGAAGAAACTGTGGAAGCCAAAAGACAATGGAATAGCATCTGGTGCTAAAGAAATAACTACCAAATTAGAATTCAATACCCATCAAAAATATTCTCCAAAACGAAGGTAAAATAAATATGTTCTTAGATAAATACAAGTTAAAGGAATTTGTTAAGCTGGGTCAGGTGGTGTACACCTGTATCCCCAGCCACTTGGGAGGCTGAGGTAGGAGGATTGCAAGTTCAAGACCAGCCTGGACAACTTAGCAAGACCTTGTTTCAAAATAAAATAAAAAGGGATGGGGATGCAGCTCAGAGGTAGAGCACTTACCTAGCAAGTCCAAGGCTCTGGGTTCAATCCCCAGCATTGCAAAATAAAGCAAGAAAGAGAAAAAGAAACATTATAGTACATGTACTATAAGAAAAACTTGTACTATAGAAATACTAAAGGAAATTATTATTCTATAAGAAATACTAAAGGAAATTCTTCAGTCTTAATGCAAAATAACCTAAATAGAATTGAACTTCAGAGAATTAAGAGCACCAGACAGGATAAGTACATGATAAATATAAACAAATAGCAACTGTTGAAAACATCAATAAGAAAAAATGTCCATGGGATTTATGACATATGAAAGTAATATATGAAAAGGCTGAGAAAAGGTTAAATGAAACTTAAATATTCTAATGTTTTAAAATTAATGCGGATGTAATTTTTAAAAAAACTTGT